CTTTCTTCTTTCAGACGAATCCAGTCGGAGTTATATTAAAAATTGTCTTTGATCTTTCAAGCTCTATCATTTCGCTCAGCGGGTGTTGCATTGCTTCAGTCCAAAAGACGTGAAATAAAAAGCTCCCTTCCATAAAAAAAAGTGAATCGATGCGTTTTTGTAAGAAAAATATCCATATTCAAAACGTAATAATCACTTGAATCTCACTGTTGTAAACGAAGCAGTTCCGGGGGAATGTGCAAATTTTTAATAGAACTCCGACTGGATTCGTCTGAAAGAAGAAAGAAGAAAGTCATATACACCTAGGATGCCTCGGGGGTGAGTAAAACGCAGCCTAATTTTCATTTTTGGGTGAACTAACCCTTTAAAAGCATTGTCTCAATATATTTCAAAACATAATTTATTCCTGTGATGAATTTTCAGCAACATTACTCCAGTCTTCTGTCACATGATCCTTCAGAATATGCCGATTTGCTGCTCAAGGAAAGTGTTTATTTATATATTTTATATATTAAAAAATCTGTCCCAAACTTTTGAATGGTAGTGTATGTATAGAATATGTGCCTGAATTGGCAAATGCATCTCGATTCAATCAATTACTCTCTGTGTAGGCTAGAGATTCTAGTACTCATATGTCAATGCAGATTGGCCACCAGACTTGTTTATCATTTTTAATTCTACATTCATGTCCCAGACTTTGCAGGCTGTGCAGTATGTGGTGGGATGGATGAGGAGGAGCAGAACCGCTATGTGGCCCAGTTGAAAGCTGAATTTGACAGCTGTGACACCACCGGGACAGGTTATCTCGACAAAGAGGAACTTACTGCCTTATGCCACAAGCTGAGCTTAGATGCCCATCTCCCTTTGCTGCTGGACACTCTGCTTGGACCACAACATTATGCCAGGGTAAGCTGTCCCGCATGAGCATCCCAGTGCCTCTCATCCTAATGCTGATTTTTGATTTTTGCGTACATTTTGATTTTTCCGTACATTTTTGCCATATGTACATTAATTGACAGTCACCACTGATAAGCTACCACTAAATATTGTAGAAACTTAATTTGCTGTAAAGTTGCTTTGCAATGATTTGTATCGTGAAAAGCGCTGTACAAATAAACTTGACTTGACTTGACTTGCTGTATTATAGATGTTAAGATAATGTCTGTTTGCAGGTGAATTTTGAAGAGTTCAAAGAGGGCTTTGTGGCTGTGCTGTCAAGATCTTTGGACTTTAGTACTTCAGAGGAGGAGAGCAGCTATCTTGAACCAGGTACTTTACTAGGAAATGACCTTTATGTAACTCCAGACTTATCAGAGCTTCCAGACTTGTGTTTATCTTCATGATTTTTTGTTACTAATCAGTCTGGACCTTGTGGATTCAAGGATTGTTGATGGTACATGATGAGTAGTTGATCTAACTCAAGCACTCTGAAGAACTGAATTGAACACATCCTGGTGTAATTGTCTAAATTATTATTTGTATTTGTTAATGAATAGCCTGGTATATTTATGGTTAGTTACGCTAGCATTCAAAAGTTTGGGGTCTGTAATATATTTGAATGTATTTGTTGTTTTCTTAGGCTGCATTTATTTGATCAAAAATACAGTAAAAACAGCAACACTATGAAATGTAATCTAAAATATATTAATTTAATATATTTAAAAAATGTAATTCATTCCTTTGATGGCAAAGCTACATTTTCATCATCATTGCTCCAGTCTTCTGATCCTTCAGAAATCATTCTAATATGCTGATTTGCTGCTCAAGAAACATTCCTTATTATTATCAGTGTTGAAAACAGCTGTTTGTGGAAACAGTGATACATTTTTTTTTAGGATGCTTTGATGAATAGAAAGTACAAAAGGGCAGCATTTATTTGAAATAGAAATAATTTGTAATGTAAAAATCTTTACTGTCACTTTTGACAAGCTTAATGCATCCTTGCTCAATAAAAGTATTAATTTCTTTAAAAAACAATTTTGATCCCCAAACCTTTGAAAAGTAGTGTGTATTTAGAGCATTGTGGTTTATGTAAACAGTTTTAAACAGTTTTTTAAGACTGGCTTTCTTACACTTTTACTTTTTGGGGTCTCTGGAAAAATTAAACACAAATATGAGAAAAACATCATTTTAAATTTAGCCAATGTTTGGTGTTATTTTTATGTCTTTCCTAAACACCTTTGTGTTTATTTGGATTAAAGGCATTGTTTAAGAAGACATAATTATTATTAACATGTTTAAGAAGACAAAACACAGGCATTCCTGCATATTCGTGAAATCAAGCAAAATATTAGCTCTTAATACCTTCAGGTACCTGCATGCCTAATGATTGTTATGGCTTCTTTCACTGGAGCCCTAATAAGTAAAACAGATGCTGAAACATTTTGTGCAGGTCTTTTTAAAATCAAAGCCAGAATAACATTTGTCTATTTTCATAGATGCATTAGGGAGACTGGTACATTAGTGTATGTTGTGAAATCTTAGCGTGCGACGCTAAAATGATCTTTGAAAATGGTATACCTGAAAGCTATGATGAAAAACAGATGTTTGTGGTTTGGAGATGTTCCATTTAGGTTTTCATTTCCTTTCAAACAAATTTTTCATTTTATGAAAAAGGTTGTGACATAAAACAAATGATGTGAGATCACCTACTATTGCTATTACCACTTATTTTTTTTTCAATTTGACTGCTTCTGACATACTTTCATTATCTGTCGCTCTAAAGCATCACTCCCTGTGCTTCTAGCAGTCCCAGAGGAGGTGAAACCTAAATATGTGAAAGGAACCAAACGGTACGGGCGGCGATCACAGCCAGACAAGACCGACTTAGAGCTGACAGCAGTCTCAGAAGATTCACCACCGTTTGGGACTGACAAAGTAGAAACAAACGGTGTGAGGAGAGCCAAGCTCAGACGCTCCACCTCACTGGAGAGTGTTGAGGTAAAATTCATGATACCTACACTACTGTTCAAAAGTTTGGGGTCAGAAAGATTTTTTTTTTTTTAAGAAATGAATGTTTTTATTCAGGAGGGATGCATTAAATAGATCAAAAGTGACATTAAAGGCACTTTTGTATTTTTTCAAAATAAATGCTGTTCTTTTGAACTATTCATCAAAGAATCCTGAAAAAATGTGCCACAGTTTCAAAAAATATTAAGCAGCACAACCATTATTAACATTGATAATAATAATAAATGTTTCTTGAGCAGCAAATCATCATTATTAAAATGATTTCTGAAGGATCATGTGACACTGAAGACTGGAGTAATGATGCTGAAAATTCAGCTTTGCATCACAGGAATAAATTACTTTTTAAAATATATTCAAACAGAATGTTAAATTACAATAACATTTCAGGCTTTCACTGTTTTTAATGTATTCTTTGATCAAATTAATACAGCCTTGGTGACCATAACAGACTTCTTGGAAAAACATTTAAAAGTCTTGCAGACCCCAAACTTTTGAATGGTAATGTATATTAACTTTATGTCTATTTTTATTTTTATTAATAACTGAAAGTGCATGCATTTAAAATCTAATTGACATGACACTCAAAGGAGATTCAAGGGAAAATAGGATTGTCATCCTGGGACTGTATGCAAATAGACATTTTTAAATATTAGCACTTAACACTGCAGTGCACCTGAGGTGTCGTATGGTTAGTCAATTAAAGAGCTGATTCAGTTTGATTGTAGTGAATGGATCTGGGCCGACCTGCTTTTCACAGACAGGAAGTGCGACGGTGTGGAATGTGCAAGTGCCGGCCAAAGTGCAGCCCCCACCTTCAACAGACTTCAGTGTTACTTTTGGCTTAGGATCAAAACATGGCTCATTTCACATTCTCTTTTTTCCCCCAAAAAACAGCAGGAGCTCTCATAAAAGGGGTTTGTTGTTTCTGCTGTGTCTGTACTTTTTCTTCTGGAGTCATTTTACTCGTGCAGAGCAGTGCCAGACCAGAGAGCCAGTGCAAATGCAAACCTGTGCTGCTGGACCTCTCCTTCCATGTGTTTCGTTTTTAAAGACTTATTTTGGATCCATCTTGGTTTGATACTAGGAACAATAGAGGATGAAGATGTTTTTCTTGCTCATGCACACGTCACATGTCCCTTCACTGAAGATGTTACAGTTACAGTTGTTTGATGACAACTGAAAGAGAGGTGTGCTTAATTATATTGAATGTGCACTTGTAGTTGCACTTGTACTTGTAATCTTAAAAGTAGATTTTTTTTTAAAATATAGTATTAATTCTATTAAAAAATAAAAGCCATTTACGTGTACTTAAAGAGAGACAGTTTCATGATTAAGTACACTTTTTAAGCGTGATTTTGTAATAATGTCAAATTAAAAGTTTTACTTTAAAGTACATTTTAAATTACTGTTTTAATAATCTTGTCATGCTTTAAAGATGTACACTTATTTTGATGTGTTGAAATGTACATTTAAAATGAATATATTTAAATGCACTTAACTGCAGCTTTATTACAAATGTGTAATTGCAGTTATATTTAAATACATGACATACAAGTTTCAATAGAAAGGACATTTTACTTTACAATATTAGAATAGAATAGTCCACTTCAACCATATTTCAAACACAATATAAATAATTATGAAATTACATCTAAAGATGTACTTAAGTCCTGCGTAAGTGGGTTAAAAAAACACTCTAAAGATCATCTAACTGAATTTCATATAAATTTAAACAATAATATATTTTCATTTAATTGTAAATAACATGCAATTAAGTGTCCAAAAACATTACATTCAGTTCACACTTAAAAATATGTGATACTGCGCGCTGAACAATTTTATAAAGTGTATTGAATTGTGTAATAAGTACTCTTTTTAAAAGTATGCTTCTTTTTCACAAGGGTAGAACAGCCCAAAACCACTCAGATCATGGTGGTAACATTTACATTTTCTAAAACAGTGTAAAATCTAGTCTAACGGTGCTGTTTGGGTTGAGACTTCTTGAGAGAGTAGGTCACAGTCTGTGGAGGATTCAAGCAATCCAAGAATGAAAGCATGCTGGTCCATCAGTACAGTTTATGTTGGCAGCGACCAGCATTTGGTGTTTATGAACCAGCCCGCCAGGCTCCGTTTGGTCCGGCGTGTTTTAGTGCCTGTGTTCATGTTTTATCATAATGTGTCGAATGTGTTCAACCAGGATTAGAGGTCTTGGTCTGGGTGGAGCTCAGGGTGCAAAGCATCAGCTGTGGTCAGAAGGCCCGATAATGTGAAGTACAACAAGGAAAGGGTTTGGCTATAATTTGGCATGGTGCTTCGTCTAACTGCGCCTCTCATTTTAGAAACGCATACTCGCATACCAGAGCCCTCCCTCGTTCTCTTACTCTCTCTCTCTCTCTCTACACGTCTCTCCCACTCTGTTCTCCTTTTCTTCTCCTGATCTCCTCTCTCACGTTTCATAAGTGTTTGAAATATTTAGAGCTTTTATGTAAGCCAGTACACGCTATTTCAGTGAATGGGAGAGATTCCATGCTCTAAATCGACTCTTTGCACTGTCACTAGCAATTCTGTGTTAACTCACCGTGTCTCGTACAGTAATCTGATGAACATGTACAGTTTAAGTATTATGTAAAAGGTTTAAGGTTTCACAAGGGTGTAGGGCTGCACAATTAATCGGATTTCTAATTGTGACTACAATTACAGATGCCACAAATATGTAATCGTTCAAAGTGGCAATTAATCGTTCAAACTAAGTCCACTTAGGTTATTCTGCATGCTTAATATTTGTTTTTTTCCTTCTACAGGTTAAGCGCTTTTCCATTGTTTTAATTTTAGTTTTAGTATAACATTATAATACCATGCATATTTTTACTTTTTTTTATTTAAAGAAGAAACCAATCTAATGTATAGTTCACATTTGAGGCTTAATACTAAATACTTAATAGAGAAGCAATACATTTTTTCAATTAGAGTGTTTTCAGCTTGTTTATTTTCATATACAAATATGGCATGCGGTTAATTCAAACAATGATATAAACACCATTCAATGTAAAATGTGATAATCGTAATTGATAATCGCAATTACAATTTCAAGGGAATAATCGACAATTATGATTTTTGTCATAATCGTGCAGCCCTACAAGGGTGTCTGTAAAGTTTTGAACATATTAAATACACTTTTTAAACAATTAAAGACTGTAAAAAGTCTTAGATATGTAATACTTTTTATCTATTTTGCAACAGTTCTTTAAGCTGTCTGATATTGTTGAATACTTCCAAAAAGCTAAAAAATGCTAAAGATTATCATGATTTTATTATTTTTCTTTTTTGACCATTCCTAATCATCATTCAAACTGATCACACTGATGTTACATTTAACTTTGCTGTTTTATTTTTTAAATGTTATATTTAATGAAGGTCCTAAATTTGTCTTAAACTATTAGTAGTAGCCAGTAGTAGTAGTTGTTGTTGTAGTAATTTGCATTAAAAAGTCTTTTAAAAAATAATAATCATTTTTGGTAACTACTCCTTACTGTTGATCAGCCCGATGTATAGTTGACATTTGAGGCTTAATTCTATAGAAAAGCACTAAAAGTTTTTCAGTTAAGTGTTTTCAGCTTGTTTATTTTCATATACAAATATGGCATGCGGTTAATTCAAACAATGATATAAACACCATTCAATGTAAAATGTGATAATCGTAATTGATAATCGCAATTACAATTTCAAGGGAATAATCGACAATTATGATTTTTGTCATAATCGTGCAGCCCTACAAGGGTGTCTGTAAAGTTTTGAACATATTAAATACACTTTTTAAACAATTAAAGACTGTAAAAAGTCTTAGATATGTAATACTTTTTATCTATTTTGCAACAGTTCTTTAAGCTGTCTGATATTGTTGAATACTTCCAAAAAGCTAAAAAATGCTAAAGATTATCATGATTTTATTATTTTTCTTTTTTGACCATTCCTAATCATCATTCAAACTGATCACACTGATGTTACATTTAACTTTGCTGTTTTATTTTTTAAATGTTATATTTAATGAAGGTCCTAAATTTGTCTTAAACTATTAGTAGTAGCCAGTAGTAGTAGTTGTTGTTGTAGTAATTTGCATTAAAAAGTGTTTTAAAAAATAATAATCATTTTTGGTAACTACTCCTTACTGTTGATCAGCGTTTTCTTTGTTAAATAAAACTAAAACTAAAACAGCCATTAAAACTGTAAATATAAATACTGGATGAAAAAAAAACTGAAAAACCAAACTGTTGCCATAGCAATTAACTGAAATGAATAAGTTCAAATTGAAGTAATAAAGTTAACATGCACATAATAAAGTAAGTAACATGCACATAATAAAATTACTAAAACTTATAGTAAAATTGAAATGAAAACTGAAAATATAAAATAAAAGCTAATTTGAATTAGTATGATTGTAGGATGATTCTAATTGAAAATGCAGTCCTTTTTGTCTTAAACAGTAAAGAATGACACACCAAAGCCATGGGTTCGATTCCCAGGGATTGCATGAATAAAAAAAAAAAGAATTATTAAAAAAAAAAAAAGAATTAAAAAGTGTATATTGAATGCAATGTAAGTCGCCTTAGATAAAAGTGTCAGCCAAATGCATAAATATAAATTACGTAATATAAATATAAAATATATCATGGTTGTCCATAGTATAATTAGACAAAAGAATATGCATTTCAACATGAGATCATAATTGACCATTTACTTTTTAAATGCATTTTCCTTGTCTTATTGGGCATGATGATATATTTAATGTTATTCCAAATAGGATTTCATCGTGTTTTTTTATCTAAATGTAATAACCTCTGACACAACTTTCCTTTTTTTCCTTTTAGATAAAAGTGTCAGCCAAATGCATAAATATAAATTACGTAATATAAATATAAAATATATCATGGTTGTCCATAGTATAATTAGACAAAAGAATATGCATTTCAACATGAAATCATAATTGACCATTTACTTTTTAAATGCATTTTCCTTGTCTTATTGGGCATGATGATATATTTAATGTTATTCCAAATAGGATTTCATCGTGTTTTTTAATCTAAATGTAATAACTTGTTTCACCTCTGAAACAACTTTCCTTTTCAAAAATATATACACAATATTTTCATAAAATTTTTTTAATAACATCCCAGATTTCTCCAGAAATACATCAGATTATGCTAGTAAAATGGGTTGCAAACTGCGTTCCACGGATTTACCTCTAACCAGAATTTTGTAATGAGATCAGTGTTGCTTTACCATGACTGTAAATATGTCGAATGAGGAGATGGATAGAATGGACAGAATCCGTGCTGATTATTCACAGGCCTCAGCACAGATTCCAGTCCATATAGTCTTTTACAACATCCATGTGAGCAGCAGCACTGCTTGTTTATGTAAATAATTCAACCAGCTGTGATAAATATTGCACACAAACCTTGTCATGCAACATAAATTATGTCGTTTTGGCTGCGTCATAGACTAAAATACAACATATTTGTCTTTTCATCAGGCAGAAGCTGAGGAACATTCTTGATGAATTGTAATCAAGTCTTTTAGAAGTATCTCATGTCTTTTGATTGTTTGGGAGTTTTTGTGCACCCCAATTAGAGAGTAGCCTTTTCTGAAAGACCTCTGTATATCAACGCTTTTCTTAGTGAATACATGATGTCAGGGATGAACAATGCCTTAGGGACAAAGATGTGTGATGTTCCTCACTTAATTTCCCAGTGGAGATAAATGAAGTAGCTTTTTTTCTCTGACTAAATATGCACTATTTGACTGAGAGAGAGAGAGAGATAATAAAAGACATTCCGCTCTCTGCTTTCCGACTGAAAAGCTGTTTGTGAAGAGTTATGTAATGTTGTTTAAATTTTAATGCTGATGGTAACTGATTGTGGCTTGTCCCATATTCAGCTGGGCTTATTCTTTTGTTACTGGAGGCTGAACTGTGTACTGTTTCGATCAGTGTATCCTGTTCTATTTTGCATTTGATCAATCTACATCGATCAAACCACAGATATCTTACAGGTCAATAACTGTCTGAATCAAACCGTAACCTACCACTAGATGGCACTAGCACAAATCAATTCATGTACATGTACCCTACATTCTCATGTAAGTTTAGGTATAGATTTGATATAGGCTGTATATTATACTGTAGATCAGTGGTTCTGCAGTGTTTCAAATCAACAAGCCCTTTCCAGTGTTGCAACTTGTGTATCATTAAAATTCCGAGTTTCCTATTTGTAAATATGACTTTGCTCTGTCATATACAATACAGTTTCACTATTTCACTAAAACAATAGGCAGTATTCAGTGTACAGTACCCAGTTAGCAAACACCATTACAATTACTTTTACTGCATTTGTCTTAATGGTGTCAGTCAATTTGAAAGCACTCTCAGTATTAGATAACTCGGTCCCACTCCAAAATGTGTCTTATATAAGCTCTTTTACATCAGTACACACAGGGAGATTTAGCTGGCTTTATATGAGCATGGTTTAAGCTGTTTAGTATGGTGCAGTGTTTCTGTACTGATATGAACAGCATTACTCTTGAGCTTGTATCTGTCGGTTGTTCCTGTCCAGTGTTGCAGAAGTAATGACTGCTGGGATGGAATGCCTTTTGATGATTGTATTGTGTTCCTTGTGATCACTGAGCCATAATAGTTCATTCAGCTACACTGTCTCCATCTGCTCACTCACTTCACTCAAGAGTCAAAACCTTAATTCAAGATATTGTATTGTAAACTCTTGCTGTGCATCTTTAATTATGACAGTATACTGTGCACACTAATTATGGAATACGTGAAAGACCTACTGTGTTGCCAAAATGTGTCAAACATTAAGACATTTTTACATAAAATGGATAAAAAATTTAAAATAACCATCTATAACATATCTAGATGCTTATTTAAAGAATAGCGGGCAGTATAGAGTATATACTGTGCAGTATTCAATAAGCACTGTCGATGCTCTGTTTATAGAGTCTAAAGTCAGATGAGGACACAGGAAACAACAAGGAGTCCACACACCACTATTTTGTGGCACAAGGTACATTAGATGTTACTAAAATATAAGCATGTTTATATATGAAAAATCAGCACATGTCTCTAATTCTTTTTGATTTACATATATTCAAGGCCAGTTGAAGCTCTGGAATCAAGATGGCACAGGAAGTCCTCTGCGCTCATCTGATCCTCAGCAGGAAGTGACAGACGGGCAGGTGAGGGCAGTATGGCAGGAGCTGGGGGTCGGAGCTGGAGGATCACTAAACCGCGAGGAGCTGTCACTCGTCTGTGACCGCATCGGTCTCAAGGACTTACAGTCCGAGGTACAGTCATGTAACGTTCTGTATAGAGCAGGATTAGTAATCATATTAACCAAGTTAGGACATTCTGTGCTGCTTGTTTGCTACTAATTACTCTTTACAGAGTTTATAGTGACATGCCTTCACCATTCAGTGCATTAAACACTGTTATCCATGTTTTTTGTTTATGCAAAGGAGTTAGACAGTCTCTTCAGAAAACTAGACAAGGATCGGGATGGGAGAGTCAGTCTGAGTGAGTTCCAGAGTGGGCTGTTCACACAACACGATCACGCTGCTCCCATCTCTACCTCCACCCCTGCCCGGCCCAAACCACAGCGCTCCATCTCAAAGGTCAGGGTCATGGTGATGTTGCAACGGAAAGCAGATTGTAGCCAAAAATAAACATAGCTTTGCCAAGCAATCTGCAGCAAAAGCTGACACCAGTATGCAAGTGTGACTGCATGGTGCTCTCTGCAAATGAAGTGAATGTATGAAAGAAGCAGTTATATGTGATTGTTTCTTAAATGTTTTATGTTGCACTTGGTGGTATTTAAATAATGTACTGTGCTTATTTAATATTTTGACAATTCAGTTTAAATTTGAAGGTACTTGTAAGTATTTGTCGTTCAAGGATCATGTGACACTGAAGACTAGAGTAATGGCTGCTGAAAATTCAGCTTTGCATCACAGGAATAAATAAAATTAAAAAAAAACATTTATTTTAAATTGTATTAATATTACTGTATTTTTTATTAAATAAATGCATTCTTGGTAAACAAGGCTTCTTTAAAAAAACATTTTAAAAAAAATAATCATATTTATTCTCAAATATTGTAAACCAGTAGTGTGTACATATCTAGACAATATGACAAAAACAACAATAACAAAACACTAATGTATGTACATGAACTTCTGGTGTGCAGCTGAAAAAAATATTTTTGCTGCAGACGACGGGTATTCCAGTAATCTGCATTTAATCATATGTTGTTTTGCATGGAATGCTTTTTTTTAATGCATGCCAAACTGTCAAATTCAAGTAACCGATATAGAAGAGAAATCTTTATCTGCCATTTTTCCTCTCATCTGCTGATTATAAAAGAGAAAATTGCTGAAAGAATGAACAACCAAAGCCTTTCCCAATGTTTTTATGACTTTTCTCAGCAGACAGACACAAGAGGCAGTTAAATGATTGCCTGACTGTCAAACAGGATTCATTTCAGAACTCCAACATCAAGCCAAGTTACTGAGGGCTGCAGTGGCTGGAACCAATTAACTTAATTGGGAAGGTGGAGCCTCCTTTTTGCTCTCTTGTTACTAGGAAAGCACAAATAATGCATTCCTGTGCAGTGGCCAAACTTAAAATCACTGCTGAGGAGATGTACTGCACAACAGGCCTCATACCTGCATGTAATGATTTTACATGGGATTGTAAAGACAGTTTGGGGTCCTTTAGTGATGACATTTCTGAGGTGATTTTACTGAAAGTCCAACCAGCCAAATCAATTAAAACAGTGTCTTAACCCAAGCTAGGCACATATTCTGATTTGCTGGTCAATGAAATGTAGGACTTAAAAGTTCAGGCTTCATTTAAAGAGAAAAATAGCTTCAGCGTTTGATAACAAATGCCGAGTTGCATGAATATTTGGCGGTTGCTGGAGCTAAAATGAGGCTAAGCCAGCTTAAGGGTTACGACACTAGAAGGACGTTTGTTGGTGGTCAGTGCAATGAATTGAGACTCTAGCTCTGGCATGTCAAGGACAGCATTGTGCATTGTGTGGTGGGACTGTGAGAGCTCAGTTTTTTCCCTTCCAGTGGTTTTCCTCGCAGTTTGATATTGAACTTTGCCGTATCGTATTGTCTTTTTTTCTCATGTCGTTCTCTCTGCTCTCTCAGGCCCTTGAGGAACGTGTGGTGCGTTCCACTTCCCCTTCTTTACTGTCGGCTACAGTGGGTCAGAGGCTGCTGACCCGGCTGGATGATGGCTCGGGATGCACAAGTCCAGACAAAGTCATCGCCCTCTGGACGGAGGAGGGCATCCACAATAGCAGGGGTATTCTACAGGTAACAGATTACTAGATGTTATTGAGGTGCTTCTAGAGCAGGTAGAGAAGGAGCGGAAGAGACTCCAGGAGGAGCTAGAACTGCTCAGGGCTCAGGACGTTAGCCTTCAGGAGGACATTTGCACTGCTGCTAAGGTAACCACTGACATTATTATTATTATTATTATTATTAAGTAGCAATATTCTGTTAGGTCTTGGCACTTAAAATACACTACTGTTTAACCCCTTAACTGTCACCGTCCTGCTAGCGGGACACCTAAGTTTACTTCAATATATTATGATTAAATCCTAATCTAATCATGGCAAAACATATATCTTTGGAAAGGTGTAAGACTCCTAAATAGATATTTTACCACTGTTTATTGTTAAAAAATTATGTTGGAACAGTAATAGATTAATTTATGACAAGAGTGCACCTCAAAACATATACTTCATAACAGGAGTTCTGACCTTTGTCACAAAAAATTATTTTTCATTTGCGTTTTAGTAATCATCATAAATTATATATCATTCGAAAACTTAAAACCTCAAAATTTATCCTCTGAAAACCATTTTGAAATCGGACATTGCGTTACCATAGAAATGGTACTTTAATATCTTTTAATGGGCTCCTCCCCCTTAGTGCGGGGTGTCATATTACAAAATGTATTACGGTCTTTTGGAATCAAAACTTTTTATAATCTTGACAAAATACATATCGTCGGAAAGGTCTGCATCTCAAGATTTCATATTTGGTGGTTATTTTGTGATAGACGTAATACTGAAAGAGAAATTTATACATTTGTGACAGAAAAATGCATCAAAAAAAAATCTATGGAGTTTGGATGGCTGTTTGTGGTATAACGCCTAAACAAAATTGCATAGGAACCTCAATTTTTTTAATATCAACTTCAAATTTGGAACAACTCATTTAGACATATGGCTTTAATTTCATATCAAATTTGGATTAAAACCTATTTTGTAAAATTTATTTTATATCAAATAAAAATAGTACAGTACATTTTCTTTACAGTAAGTTTAAACTTCTATAACTTTTTATGCTTTCATTTTTTTTTAATGATTTAAAAAAAAATTCACACTTCTGCAATAATCTGCTGATTGTCTTCTTTAAAAAGAGATCAACTTTAGATCTGTATTCAAAAGCGTTCATGAATTATAACAATTTAAGTTTGAATAGTGCACTTTCATGTCTATGTTCAAAAGGGGGGGGGGGGACAGTTAAGAGGTTAACTGTTTGGGTCAGAAGTTTTTTTATATTTTTTTTAAACTTTCAATTCTTTAAAGAATCCTGAAAATTTTTTTTTAAAAATCACAGTGGTGTTTTTTTAACCTTAAACTGCATAAACACATTTCATTACACCAAATACACAAAATAATGTTCTTTTTAGCAGCATCATATGACCCCTTTAAGTTGCAGCTGTTTTAAATATTGATATTAACATTGAACAGTATTAACTATTTTTTAACATTGGTGGCTGCTGAAAATTCAGCTTTGCCATCACAGGAATAAATGACATTTTCAAATGTACTAAAATAGAAAACAATTATTTAAAATTTCAGTATTATTTCACAATGTCTTATTTCACCAAGATATACATCCCACAGTTGTGTAATTTGCCATTGAACATTCAAGTTGGGAAATTATATTGAAAATGCCATAACAGTATCTAAAGAATGTTTGCATTGTAGTACAATTTCCTTACCATCCCTCATTTAATTCTCTTGCAATCACACTGACTTAAATTTCATGATGATCTTGCTCTTAGCTACAGAACAGGACTTAATGAAGAGGTGATCTGTCATGGTTAGAGGTGTATGTTTCTTCGAGCATGTCAGTGCGGTGTCAGGTTAAATAGCTCTCGCTGTGTGTTATAGGAGAACAGTCGTTTGGAGGAGGAGGACAGCGTCCTGAAGGAGAAGCTGTCTGAAGCCGAGAGCACCATCTCTAAACTACAGAAGGATCTAGATCATCTGCTGCAGGACAAGGTGAGATGTCTATATGTCGTTAAATTGCTGTAAATCATATCCTTTATGAGGTTCATTCTCTGAGAACAATAATGATAACTGATCAATGCTTGTTTTACTGAACAGTATGGTGGCCTCGATCCAAATGGTACAGGACTGCTGAATCAAGAAGAGCACTTCTCAGAGATCTTTAAGGAGTACGAGCAGCAATGCAGGGTATGAGCATGCCTGTGTAGGTTTGGTGGATATTTTGTCTGGAGTGAACGGTGAAGTCAGTCCAGAACCCTGTCATTGTGCATTGTATTTAAGTGTCACTGTTTGGCCATCATGCTAGCTATCCTATAATTCATGGTGCTTTAAATTACATCTTTAATTGTGCAACTTTTTGAGGTGTTACACTATTGTGCCATTAGTTTTGCTCTTTTGACTTGAGCCAGTAAGTAACCACCTGGGAACCATTAAAAAAAATCCCATTAAAAAAACATTGTTTTTTCATGCTCTGGTCAGTTTTGAGATTTTTGTGCTATTTGACATAATTTGGCTGGTGGAAAGAAAACATTCAAAATACACTTAAGTGTTTATTTTATTGCACTTTATCTATTTGTGTCTGTAGATTTCAATTACAGTTTTTTAACTTAATTTCAATATCGTGATAATACCGTATACCGTAATAAAAGCATTAGCAATTAATCGCAACATGAAAATTTGATACCGGCATATCCCTAATTACAATATGTATATTTAAAGGCAGTTTTCTCAAAACAGTTTTTTTTCCATTTCTTTTCCACTTCATTAGCACGTTCACCAAACTTTACAGTTTTAACGGATTTTACCGAGATGTGTATATAATTTTCTTTGATTTTATACATTTTATTCCTAAAAACATGGTGAAAATATATTTTTTTCTGGCTGTTGACAGTATTTTTTGATTTATGGAGCGATAAAAACAGATCCAAAATCCTCTCTGTAAAAACCTTAAACTCTACTGTAAAAACTCTACTGTCAACAAAATGAAACAAGAATTTTGAACCTGGCTTTATCCAGTGTTTAGTGTTTATGCAAATTAGTGAATATTTAATTATATAATGCCTAATTTGCATATCGATATTTTAGAAAACTTGAATTAAAAGTTTGGAAAAAATGTTTGCAATTCTTAATGTAATCAATCAACTGGGGGAAGTATGGCGATTTTATCTTTTTATTTATTTATTTTTTTTACCCTATTCACCTGGGGTGTCTTGGCTTTTTAAGAAAAAATATATTTTTTATATTTATAAATGTATATAAAACTATTACATTTTATAGCTCTTAAAACAGATGTGTTATGTATACATTTTTTATGTTAAAATACTTTTTTTTTTTTTTTTCTCAAATATTTACAGAGATTTTTTTTGCAGTTCCATTTGGTGATGTTTGTGGCAAAGAAAGTACATGTTTCACCTCTGCATTACAATATCTTTGTTTCAGGAAATGAAGAAAAAAATAGTTTTACTTGTGTAAATGACCCTGTGTCTCCGCCCCACTAAATACAGGAGCTGCAGGACAGGAATGACGAGTTACACTCAGAGCTGGAGTTGTTGAAAACTCAGGGCTCAGGAAGGAGAGCCAGACGATCCAGGAGCAGCCTGTCTGGTCATGACTGGTCAAGCCGAAGAGCATTAACCACCGAATCAGATTCTGGTGAATTTAACAAATATTTTGAATATTAGTCATCAAGTTTACCTTTCTAGATCTCACGTATCTCTTTCATGCTATACCCAAGTTTATGTACCTTAACCTAGTAAACTGTTGAATGAACAACTCATCATATCTGTTTTGTTCTGCTGCAGATGATCCAGAAATGAAGAAAGGTACATCTCCTCAGGTCAGAAAAAAGCTCCAAGTCACTGACAAGAATGGTGAGGATTAAAATAATTACAAAAGTTATGCTTTCCCTATGGAATATCCATACACATGGGTCATGTTAGTTTGGTGTATCTCCTCAGTATTGGGTTCCTTGGAGAGTTTGGCTCCCCCTGTGAGCATCGAGACAGAACTGGCCATGGAGCAGATGAAAGAGAAATACGAGCGTGAGGTCCAGGACTTGAAGATCCAACTGGAGACTAAGGTACGGGCATAGTATGGAAACATGAAATAGGTTTGTTACAAGTACCCTTTGCAAATTAGATTAGATTAATTTTAGATTCAAACAGTCAGAGCTAAGGGGAACAGCTAAGATGTGCAAATGCTCCTAGACATACAATGTTACCAGGTACCAGTTAAAACCTTATAGAGTACAACAGCGATTTGGGATTTTTACTTCCAGAACCTGACTGTTACACTATTGCAATTGGCAACACAAATTTTGTAAACAAAACCTTACTGTAGAGAGGAAGTGATTTATGGTCTTAATTTTGTTTCAACAGGTGAATTTCTATGAGCGCAGTATGGATCTGATGCGGCAGAATATGGAGGTTGAGCGGAAGGACATCTCGCAGAGCTTTAAGATAGAGATCAGTGAGTTGGAGGACATGAAGGCTCAGGCAGAGGAGCGGGCAGAGAAAATGCGTCAGGCTGTTGAGCGGCTGGAAGCAGAGCTGAGGGGAAAGACTTCAGGAGGAGCCTGGGGTCCAGAGCTAGAGCGGAGAATTCAGCGAGAACAGGCAGAACTGGAGCAGAACTACGCTCGTGAGATCAGTAACATCGTGCTGCGCCTCACCTCAGAGAAAGATCAGCTAGAGGCAGAACTCAAGCTCAAGATGGACCAGGAAGTGCTGCTTGTTAGGTTAGTGTCGCTCAAACGATCTGGTACGGGATTATGTGCAGCTCATCCATTGTAGACATTAGTCTTACATATTAAAAAAAGAAATGAGCTACCATGTGAGAAGGTCGAATGACTTGTCAGTGCTGAGACAGTCTTTAGGACTGTTTAGTGATAGAATAAAATACAGAAACAGTATATTATTTTCTGTCACTGTAAACCTGTCAAATATGTCCGGGTGATTTCTCTTAAACAAACAAGCAAATTACAATATTTATTTTGTAATAATTCTCATTTCAGTAATACAAAAGTATTTCATTCTGTTTACTGTAATGTGGAAAAATACAATTTTGATTCTAAATGTGTTCATGCATTATAGTAGGTAGCATTTGGTTGTATTGAGTTTAATTGATGACTTAACAAAAAAAGTAAAACATTTTTACAGTAATGTTAAAAATAATGTTTTACAGTATGATGAATTTAATGGGAATCACCATTGAATACAATGGGAATTTAAAAACCACTCATAATAAAAACATTTGAATGCATTATAGTAATGAGAATTAATGAGAAATGTGCTTAATTGTTGTTTAAAAAAAAAAAGAAAAAAAAAGAAAATTAATGATGCCAAAAATTGCAGTGGTCCTAAAATGATATGAAAGTTCTTGACAGGCTTGGTGAGATTCACCCTATTGCCAAAATTGCATTGCTGAGAGAAAAAAAGCCACAAATAATACATTGGTGTGTAAGTCACATTTTATTACTACATTCAGAAATAATGTAAAATACTAAAAAAAAAGGTTTACAAACATTATGAACACTATTTTTAGTATTTTACTAAACTGTAGATTTGACTCCACAACAAATCTTTTAAACTTAACAGTATTCAGGGAAGAAAACAGGAATAAAAAAATGTAAATATTAAACTAAATTTATAATGGAAAATAATATTGACTATAAATGGCAAGCCTAAACAAATTTAAAGCGAAACTGAAATTTAACATTTTAATTTCGCTTTGAAATTAGTCACACAGTATATTTCAGATTATAAAAAATTACATATTCTAAAAAATATGGTACAATTTATATGCTTTTCAATTAAAAGTAATATTCATGCTTCATATAGACCTTTGTTATATCTAAGACAGTGTCCTGTGTACAAATGACATCCGGAACCCAGCTGTGTTTAACTATAAGTTCAACCTCTTAACCAACATGCCTGTAAGGAGAAAGTAGATTTTTTTTCCCTTGGTATTCATGACATTGCCATGAATTTACACTTAGACATATTAGCATGTTGCTGTGTCCCAGGGAGAAGGCAGAGCAGCAGTTATTGCACATGAAGGCACAACACAGCGAGGCTCAGCGCAGCCTCCTCCACCAGCTGCACCTCGAGCGCAGCCGTCTGCAGGAGCAAACCAAGCAGCATCACAGAGAAGTTGGTGCGTGGGAGGCAAGAGTACAGGAGCTGGAACAGGAGGTGCGCCGTGAGCGTCTCCTCAGCACCGAGCGTTGGAGTGAAGGGCAAGCTCAGGTCTGCAGCAGGGTGGCACAGGAAAGGAAGAAACTGGAGGAGGAACACCAGGAGGAGGTCAGGAAGCTAGAAGAACACATCCAGTTCATGGAAGCTCAAGTAGAGCTCGCATCCAGGGCTGAAGAGGAGCTGCTCGCACTACAAAGACAGCTTGAAGATAAGCTGGAAGAGATGTGTTTTCAGCTGGAAGACAACACGGTTTCCATGAAAGCTCAAGATGCCCTCATCCAGAATTTGACCTCAGAACTTAATGCCAAAGAGAAGGAAATGGAAATCAGAAATGAGAAAGAGCGAAAGCTCTGCAATAAGCTCTCTCAGCTAGAGCAAAATCTTAAAGCAGAGAGAGAAAAGAAACAAGAGCTCCTGAAGCAAAAGGAGCAACTACAGAAAGAAACAGACAGAAGTATTCAAGATCTAAAGGAGAAACTTGGAAAAGAAAAAGAGAAGGAACAGGAGCTTCTTGACAGAGTTTCTCAGTTGACTAAAGAGCTGGAGAACTGGAGGACCAAATCTGAGACCTGGCAGAAGGAGATCGAAATGATGCAGGGAAGCAGTAGTCATCTGTCTACTGCGTTTGGTGAGCAGCAAATGCAGCTGAGAGAACAAGAGAAAGAACTTGTGGAGCTTCAAGAAAACTTGGCCAAAACGCACGAGGCACTGAAAAGCAGAGATGACGATCTTACAAGACAGGCTTCTGAGATAAATGCTATGGAGATGGAGCGGGATCGACTCCTAGAGGAGCTCAGGGGTCAATGTGAACTTCTCAAACAGCTACAAACACAGGTCAATAGTCTCTCTGAGGAATGGGATCAAATGCATATGATGGAGCAAAAACTTCAAGTCTCTGTTCGTGTGGAACAGGGTAAGGTTGAACAGCTCCAAGCCCATCTGAACTCAGAGCAAGAAGAAACAAGACATCTTGAACAAGAGAACTCTAACTACCGGCAACTTGTAGACCAGCTTTCATCTCAGATTGTCGAAATGGAGGCAGAGTCTACCAAACTCAAAGAGAACGCAGATAAACTTGCACTGGAGCTGCAAAGCAAAGACAATCAAATGCTGGAACTCAGTCGTCAGCTTGAAGCCAAAGCCGAAGAGATTGATTTGCTCTGGAACGAAGTTCAGCTGAAGATGAACCTGTTTAAGAACGTCACTCAACTCTCTGGTCAGGTTCAACTTTTGACCGACCAGTTGGAGGACAAAGAGCGAGTGCTGTGCTCTCTGAGGGAGGAAGCCGACAATACCGCCAACCAACTACAGCAATCACTGATGGACTCCCAAACAGAGCTTCAGCAGATGGAGGAGGTCTTTGAAAGCGAGAAGAGCCATATGAAAGAGCAGCTTCTGGAGATGGAGGGGCTTGTCATGGCTTTAGAACAAGAGATGGCCAATCCCCACAGGTTTGTGGTTCTCCAGCTGGTAGATGACCGTCGAAACAGACCAAGACTAACCATTGCTGTATTGATCCAATCGCCGTTTCTCCCGTATGGATGCCGTATCTTGCCATTTTTGTCCAAGAATGTTTGCCTGTATGTTTCACACAATGAGATTTCATTAACCGTAGACATGCGCTTTGAATTTTCAGGCCTCATGCTGCATCTCACTAACTGAATGATATTATTGTCACTGACATGCATGCAGTCTCACTATTAATAACAGTTACTGTATGTATTCTGATTGAAAGTGTCCTTGCATCCTTTTAATTGTATTAATAGCATAACTTTTTTGTGTTTGCTGCCCTAATCTTTAGCAAAACATTATTTTTTTTTTTAATCTAGCTACAAAACTTGTCATTGTACCTAACATTATATTGTTTTCTGTACTAAGCTGCCTAAAAGTGCAGAGGCGGGTAAGTTTGTTATGAAGAGCTGATCTCTATATTTTGGTTTCCAATTCTAGGGCTCAACTTGATGAGGTCACCTCCGAAAACAGTGCACTGAAAGACAGGCTTGCTGTCTTACAGCGGGATGTCAAGTTGCTGGAGGAGGAGCTCAACAAAAAGACGTAAAGAAATCATTGACTTGTCAACTATCCGCATTTTATTTTGCCATTTTATTTAGCAAAATCTAATATTCTGCTTCACTATATTTAGGAGGAAACTTGAGGAGATGGAGAGAGCATATATGAAGAATCGAGAAGAAGAGGAGAGGCTACGGAAAGAGGTAAGTGATAGCATGGATCTTAAATTCAGACCATATTCTTAATACTCATTTCTGGTCTTATTCTAAAAAAATTCAGCAGTCCACATTATCCCAAAGAAAAGTTTGTGTTCTTGGTATTTCGTCAAAATACTTAATTTGATCCACCTCTAAAATGATGACATCCCCAAGCCCCCTTCTATTTCAACCACTGTTATAAAGAGATCACTGTTTACGTTCCAATTCATTCATTTTTTTATTTATTCTCTTGTTAAATATTCCATTAAATGCCACATTATGAAAACGAAATGATTGCTGCTCCTAACAATTGTTTTATTTCTCCGACATAGAATACCAAATTTCGAGAGGAGGTGCTTGACTTCAGTGCGAGAAACCTGCAGCTTAGCAATGAGAACGCGGAATTAAGTTCCCGGCTGTCTACTGATCAGAGAGCAGTGCAGACGCTGACTGACAGGCTAGCACAGGTGTGTCAGGAGAACGATGAGGCAGCTGCGTCCTACAGACAGCTGCAGGAAACCCTTCAACAGCAGAAGAGCGACACACTAAAGCTGCAGGAACAGTGGCAGAAAGAGAAGGAGCTTCTAGAGAGGGAGCTTAAAACCGCCAAGGAGACGGTATGGTTTCGTTTTGTAGGATATATGTGACCCCGGACCACAAAACCAGTCTTAAGTCGCTGGGGTATATTTGTAGCAATAGCCAAAAAAACATTGTATGGGTCAAAATTATTGATTTTTCTTTTATGCCAAAAATCATTAGGATATTAAGTAAAGATCATGTTCCATGAAGATATTTTATAAATTTCCTACTGTCAATATATTAAAACTTAATTTTTGATTAGTAATATGCATTGCTAAGAACTTCATTTGGACAACTTTAAAGTCAATTTTCTCAGTATTTGGATTTTTTTGCACCCTCAGATTCCAGATTTTCATATATAATAGTTGTATCTCGGCCAAATATTGTCCTATCCTAACAAACCATACATCAATGGAAAGCTTATTTATTCAGCTTTCAGGTGATGTATAAATCTCAATTTTGAAAAATTGACCCTTATGACTGGTTTTGTGGTCCAGGGTCACATATTAACAAATTATTTCAAAGTTGGCAGGAATCGCTGAAACTGCTGTTTTTCTCCAGCTCCAGCATTTGACGGTGGTTGAGTCTGCATTGAGTAGTCAGACTCTGAAATACCAAGCACTAGAGCAAGACAAGGAGCGTTTGTTGAAGGAAACAGCAGACAGAGACCAGAAGGTGAAAAGTTTGTGCTCTCTTTCTCAGATGCTGCTGAACATGTTTATGCTGAAATGTGCTTTGTGTTTTTTTTGCAGCTGGAAAAGCTTCAGGAATCACTTGGCAAATCAGAAAGCCAGATAGAGCAGCTCAACTCCCAGATCTTGAGTATGTGGCAAGAAAAGAATGTTCACGTCCATGAGTCAGCCACACATCAGGAGATGCTGCAACAGTCTCAGGAAAAGGTCAACCAAGATCTTTATACATCTTTAAACGCACTTGCAGTCATTCAGAAATAATAAAAAATAACTTGTAAATATTGTTGTAAAACACAAGGTCCAGGAGCTTGAGGAGAGCACACGTCAGTTGCGTAAAGAGAAGGAGCAGTTACTTCAGACCCACAGGCTTCAGGAGGAGACGGCAGTCAGTGTTCTGCAAAAGGAGTGCAAGTGTTTGCGAGTACAAAACGAGGAACTTCATGATAAGGTTAGTCAGGAACAACAAATTGCTTTTGCAATGGATTTTTCTCAATATGCAATTAGAAGCTACCCATAATTGCTCCTTGTTTATTTTCTAGAGAACATTTTGGAATGCACTTACATTTATACATGAGGCTTTCATCCAAAATGAATCGATCCCATGACCTTGTGGTTGATAGCACCATGTTTTGAGCTGCAGTAATGTTCTTCTGTATTCACTACAGGGAATTTCAATGTATTTCAAAGTCTCTTATACTCATCAAGGATGTATTTATTTGATCGATACAGTAAAAACAGTAATATTGTGAAATATTAATACAATTTAAAATTAGTAATTGAATATATTTTGAAATGTCATTTATACCTGTGATGCAAAGCTGAATTTTCAGCATCATTACTCCAGTCTTCAGTGTCACACGACCCTTCAGAAGTCTTTCTGATATGCTGGATTATATTTCTAGGTGGCTCAGCTGCAGACTCGGGAGCTGGAACTTCAGAGACTGACACACGAGTGCCTCATTCTGAGGAACAAACAGGCAGAGCTAGAGACCGCTAAACATGAGGCAGATGAACAGGTATGGAGATCATTTTCAAACTTCTCACTGCTTGAGTATTCCTTATGAATGTTTTTGTTCTCACTTTTGTGTGTTTGTTGTGGTTTAGGCATTAAGGGCAGATAGCGCTCTGTCGCTGGTCCAGGCTCAGCATGCACGTGAGGTGCAGGAACTAAGGGAACAGATGGGTTCTGGCACCCGGGAGCACTTGGCTCATATGCAAACTCAACTAGCTGAGCAACAGCGCAGGACGCAGGATTTAGAGGATCTGCTTCGCTCTCAGGCCAAGCAGGCCAGCGTTCAGATGGGCCTTCAGCAGGTACATCAGCATCACTTTCAAAACCTTAAGGCAGTCGAACAGGGAGTGAACATGCTAGTGCTTATACATTTTTGCATTGAATCATTTTTTTTTTTTTCACCCTTGATCTCATATTTCACGTATATTTTTATTAACAAACTATTAAATTAAACAACAGGAGCAATATGAGAAATTGATGGCGAGTATGCAGGAGCGTATGGATGAGGTTGAGGCCAAGCTGAAAAACACCCGAGTCATGCTGCAGGAGAAGGTCAACCAGCTAAAAGAACAGGTAACCAGAAACTAATGGCATTAAAACCACATTTAAAAAATATACAAATATTTTTAAAACTAAATACGAGTTTACTGAATACTTCATAATGTTTACTATTTTTTCTATAGTTTTTAGTATGTGAAACATTAGTAGTCATTATGAAATAAATTAAAAATTTCACATGACATAAACCCACATACTGTACTGTTTGTTTCATCATCTTCAAAATAATTATTTAAACAGAGTAGTTCACCCAAAAATGAAAATTTGCTGAAAATGTAATCACCCTCAGGTCATCCAAAATGTAGATTAGTTTGTTTATTCATGGGAACAGATCTGGAGAAATGTATTACATCACGTGCTCTGCAGTGAATGGGTGCCATCAGAATGAGTCCAAACAGCTGATAAAAACATCATAATAATGACTCCAGTCCATCAATACATGTCTTGTGAAGTGAAAAGCTGTTTGTAAGAAACAAATCCATCTTTAAGGCACTTAAAACTATCTATAATTTTACCTCCAGTGAAAAAGTCCATCCTCTGTTGTCCTCTCACATCAAAATCCATCACCATATTTAAGAACTGTTTTGAACTCTTTGCTTGTAAATGGTGTTTGATCTGTGCATATTTCTTTATTGATTCAAACGAGATGACTTAACTGGAGAAAGCAATATTATGTATTGAGGACATTTATCTTAGTGTAAGTTGTCTTGATGGATTTGTTTCTTACAAACACAGCTTTTCATTTCAGAATACATTAATTAATAGACTGGAGTCGTGTGAATTACTTGTGGATTATTTTGATTGTTTTTATCAGCTGTTTGGCCTCTCATTCTGACGGCACCCATTCACTACAGAGGATCCATTTTTGAGCAAGTGATGTAATGCTACATTTCTCCGAATCTGTTCCAATTAAGAAACAAACTCATCTACAGTACGTTTATTTGAACATTTCATTGAGTATAAATGTGTGAACTTTTGGTAGCTCTGTAACTAGTAAAAGTTCACACTGGAAATAGGCAGCCAAGTCCTTGACATTGTGGGATACACTGTCTTGGTGCACATTTTGGCGAATGTAGGTGAACTGAGCATGTCATCAATACTGAAGTATACATACTAAGAACAGAAATAGTAATTGTATTCTATCAGTATGCTGAAGTTATTTTATAGTGACAATCATCTCTCTTCACCACATAGCTGGCCAAAAATGCCAAGTCAGATCTGCTGCTGAAGGACCTGTATGTGGAAAACTCTCAGCTCATGAAGGCTCTTCAGGTGACGGAGCAGAGGCAGAAGAGTGCAGAGAAGAAGTCCTTCCTCTTGGAGGAGAAAGTGATCGCCCTTAATAAACTGCTATGTAAAATCGCCCCAGCATCCCTCACAGCTTAGACTTGTTTTACTCCACTATGAGCCTTTATCTGTTGTACTGGACTGTGAAGTTCCATCCGCTAGTACAGTGGTTCCCAACACTGCATGTTTTGCATGTCTCCTTAATCAAACACACCTGATTCAGGTCATCAGCTCATTAGTAGAGACTCCAAGACCTGAAATTGGTGTCAGAGAAAGGAGACATGAAAAATGTGCAGTGTTGGGGTGCGTCCAGGACCAGGGTTGGGAACCACTGCGCTAGTGCAGTGCGAAATGTGTTTTTGTAAAAGCAATCTTAGTGTTAAAATGAAAGCACAGATAATGCAAAGTCTTACAGTTACTGTAACAGCATATTGTATTAAATCGTGCTGTTTTCAAGAGTATAAAGAGGACGAAGGGTTAAGTTAATTTAATGGTCTCTTCAGAGGCAAACAGATACCAATGAACAAGACTTTTGTAGTATGAGATTTGATCATTTGTTAAGTACAGAACATTACACATTCCTTCAATTGTTCACTGTGATGTAGGGTACGAACCGCAAGCGTTCTTGTGAATTTGTTGGCTTCAATAATTGCTAGTAAAATAAGACATTCTTTTTAATGCCCATTGAGGTGCAATAACCAAAAGCACAGTATTCACACAATGTACAGTTTTGATACAAATACTATCTTGAAATTGCACCATTGTCAATCATGATGCACTAATGTCCACTTTGATATAAATTATTGTAAGTGTTGCAGATGTCTCTTATGATGTACATCTTGTTTAAAAGAGCTGGCTAACTGTTGGGAGATGAAACTGTTGTAAATGCATCATGTATGTAAAGAATGTGACCAAGTAAAGTTTTACCTGTGTACATGTGCTGCTTTCTGAAAAGACAAATCACTCAAATTTAAAGCTATAACATCTAAATGAATGTGAAGGAAATTATCCACAATACAGCTGCTTTATTTATTTTTAGGAGATGATGTGCTCTAATACACCCTGCCGAATAAGCTGCTCACATTTCCATCTGGGTAAAAAGTGCTGTGAAGACAGAAAGGGTGAAACGTCTTAAGCAATCTATATATATATATATATATATATATACACAATATCTCACAGAAGTGAGTACACCCCTCACATTTTTGTAAATATTTTATATCTTTTCATGTGACAACACTGAAGAAATGACACTTTGCTACAATGTAAAGTAGTGAGTGTACAGCTTGTATAACAGTGTAAATCTGCTGTCCCCTCAAAATAACTCAACACACAGCCATTAATGTCTAAACCGCTGGCCACAAAAGTGAGAAAATTGTGATCAATTTATCCAGAATTGTGCAGCCTACTCCTATGTTTGACTGACTGTTTCTTCCATGGCATACAGTGACGGGCAAATAGTAACGCCCTACTTCCCCCATACCTTTTTACAATTTATCTATATAGCCTACTATATAGTGCAAAAAAAAATATTTGTTTAGAATATTTTTAATACAATTAAGCACTAGTCAAGCTGCAATATCTAACAGAACTACAAGGAGACGCCAAAAGATCACTAAACTTACTGCCTTGACCAGACTGTACAGGCTACTACTATACGGATCCATTTAGAATCTAAAAAACACCTTCAGGCTTCAGCAGCCTCCATTATAAAACACTCGTGCTTTTAAGCCAAATACACGCTGAAAATAATAATTCTGGAGGTGACTCTAAGCCATCTCTAATGAAATCGGTCGGGTTTTCTCTGTAGCTGTTTTGAACTTATAGGCTACTGTTTGAAGGCATTCGTTTACTGGATCCTTCTGATTGCAAAAACTTGCTTCTTTTCATTTTTAAGGTATTGTTTTCGTTATAATGTACAGATTCAAATTAGGAGTCAATAATTAAATATTATTTTATCACTCTGCGCGCCCCCCTGACATGCACTCAAGCCCCAGACCGACTCCGCTTGCATTCACGTGATTTGTCGAGATGAGAGACGGCGGCAATCATCAATCAAATTCAAAGGGAAGCCGGCGCATTCTGACCGCATCACTGTCTTTACTGGGTATGTTTAGGGAATATTTGCATTTATTCACATGCGATTTGATTAGCTAGTCATGGTGGACTGTCATGATTTTTGCTAATGCAGGACACTAATGAATGATGCGCATCAGAGGGGATTTAGAAGTGGGTATACGCAAAGCCGACTGATAAAGAAGTGGGTACACGCCGTATACCTGCGTATACCCTCCACTACACCACTGGGTGTACTCACTTCTGTGAGATACTGGGTGTGTGTGTGTGTGTGTGTGTATATATATATAAAGCAGTCCTTGTAGTCTGATTTAAAAATTGTCTTAAGAATATAGTTACCTGGCTATTTTTCTTCAAGAGAATGACGGTGCCATCATCTATTTCAAATTCTCCATGGTCTTTAAGACAGCGCACCTGAAAGGGAAGGAAATGATAAATCAGTGATGATAATGTTACTCCATTTAGCTTAATGGATGAATTTCACACACACAAAAAAGGCATTATTGCCTAAAAATAACAAAAGCCTATGCTAGGACTATTAAGATTTAACATAGTTTAAGCTTTCAAATTACTGTAACAGTAATTTTACTGTAAGTCTTTTACAAGGCATTACAACAAATATTACTATAATGCATAAATACTTCACAACTAAACTATAAAAAAAATCTCTTTACTGTAATTTTTTTTACACATTACAGTAAAAAGATATGTTTTTCCCATTACAATAATAAGAATTCAACAGTAGGTTGTGCTTAACTGGCATGAAGTGCATGAAAACGGACAGAGCCTACATTTCTGTGATCACACACTCACGGTTATTAATAACAAAATGTTTTATTTAAAAAAACAAAAACACAATTTGTTACTTGAAAGAAAATAAATGTTAACTGACATAAAAATCCTATGAAACTTATTTCAGCTACATTTCTTGATGTACTTGACTAAAACAAAATAGACATTAATAAAAAAAAATTACAAAAATTAAAATGACAAAATCAACTAAATTACTAAACACGAACCATATTAGTATCTCAGTTCTACTAAAACAAAACTGCACTCACCTCAATGTATAAACTCTTAGGAGGCTTCATATCCTGTGTTATGTCCAAACCGTCCTCTCCACCTATTGACCTCATATAGGTTGCCAAAGACTTTTTGTACTGATTGAACCACTCCATCTGATTTATAAGCATTTAAATTACAACATGTCAGTCACAGACCAAAAAGATACATGTGACATATGTTAACATTAGACAGAAGAAAAGCAGGCCCACCTCTTCAGCACACATATGAAACCTAATGGTTGTGGGCAGCACACTGCCATACTCCCATCTGAGAGCACGCATTCGCAGGAGGCGATCATAACTGTGGAAAGAGAGAGAGAGAGATGGGTTTGACCACACCTGCCAAGAGTGCACAAGAGTGAACTTGATGATGGATAACAGGAGAACCCAGGGAATCACACACAGGTAAGCCGCGATACAGCGCTGGTTTCTCAGCAGGCAGCTGTGGCGGAACTTGATGCTTGGTATCAGCTCACTCTTGCCCTCTGTCTTTGCCTCATTCCTACAAATACAAAAAAATAACAGTTTTATAAAGACTATAATGGCTTTATAAACTAAATCACAGCTCGCTATTATAGTATTTATTAACTTTTATTGATTATTATTATTAATTATTATTACTTTATTGATTTTATTATACATTTTTTAAATATTTTACTTAGCTTTCATTGATTTTTTATTTCATTTTCAATCATTTTATTTTCTTTTACATTTAAAATTTATTTAGTTTCAGTCATTTTTAATGTTCAATTAAGTCTACATCTAATGTGTGTTTTATTTCAGCATTATTTCCATTAAAGAAAACTATTTTAGTTATCAATATCCACTTTGCACAGACCCTGCCATGCTAACAAATCAGACATAAAGAATGAGTGTCAATGCTGAGAGCTGAGCACACACTTACACATCACTCTGATTCTGCTCGTACAGAGCCTTCATTTCCTCCAGAACTTGCCGAATACCGTCTTCCTGCGGAAGAACCACGACAAACCGGTATGACTTTGCTTTGAAATGTTAATGACAATTATTACTAACTGCTGAAACCATGGCAACTACTAAACACCGCAATGTGCGTTAACTGTTTATGCGCTTACATTAAACGCGGGCAGCTGACCGTCGCCCATCCGGTGAACTTCTCTAATAAGCTCGACCGCCTTTTCGCAGAACATTGTAAATGTGTTTGTATCCGAAAGATGTGGATATTTTTGGGGATGAAGCCTTAGCTAACTAAATTCCCAATGTAACGTTACTCGCAGACAGTTTTCGCGGTAAATGTTTGTTGTTGTGATCACGTGAGCCATAAAGAAACTACGGCGAGCCAAAAAGGACATTTTCAGATATGGCTAGTGACGGGAAGTCTGTTCTTACGAACAGTTCATTTCAAAGAACCGGTTCAGTGATAATCTTTCTTTACGTCAACGCGTAACATCTTACATAAAACGATACACATAATTACTTAACCGGTGTCGTTAATGGGAACATGACAGCCAAATGTGCATCATTATGTGTATGAAAATGCAATACAGCACAGTTTAAGGCCATTCTGATAACTGCTTGTGACCTTACCCCATTCAACACCCTCTTATTATTTTATATGAGTAAAAATATATATTGATTTACGCTACATATTTTAAGGTATTTAGTGCTGTAGCACATTGTATTTTGGATGGTTGTGTGATATTTTGTACACATTCTTGTCGTTATTTTGTAACAACTAAATGTGAGTAATCAAGTACACGCTGTCATCTAGTGGTGAAAAGTTTCACGTACAAACAAACACATTCATCCATTCACGTTCATCCATCTGAACACTTCAGCTTCGGTGGCGACTAACCTGGGCAGTACAGGGTTAATCACGCCTTGTAGGTCACCAATATAAAATAACAAACTTAGTGAGAAGCTTAATAACTTAAGTAAAAATAATTCTACAAATTCTGATTAATAACTCAAAAGCAACTAATAATAGCTATCTATAGTTTGCGTGATGCAGATGGCTGTAACTTTGCGGTCAGACCATAGGCTACACTGTTCCTTTCATAGACCCAGAGTTGGTTAGGGTGCGTAGAGTTGCTATCAGTTG